ATAAAATAAATGAATACCAAACTAAAGATTGATTTCATTTGGCCTTAATTCTTTCTTATAAGTGTAACGAGTGACAAAACACACTGAATACTCAGATATTCATTCTATCTCATCATTTACCCGCAAGCAATTCATGCTGAAATAAACGAAAACCAGCTGTTTGAAATACAACTAATTCATTTCTGAGGTTTGTGGGGATTGATTTATTGATTTCAGGTTGGTATTCGTTATGGACTGACATCAGTTAGAGAAATATTGGAGACCTGAGGGCACTGTACAGCTTTTTCATCCTAGTATGGGACTCCTCAGCACGACGTATGCATGACCCCATCAAACATCGAACGCAAGACTTTCAGTATCAAGGGTTAGTAAGTTACCAACGAATATCAACCTGGAGTCAATAAACAAATTCCACAAACCTTTAAATCGAATTGATTTAGTGGTCATTGGTGACTAGCTTCGTGAGGGGATTCCCGAACTTCCAATAATAAGTCGTGACTGTTGGGGTCAACCAAGTTGAACATGAAGACAGTAAGTCAACGACGGCATTGAATGGAGATATCGTGAACTGATAGAAGTAGGAAATATGAACCATTGGATTTGAATCCAGGGGCTTAGTGGTAACTTGCTGGCCACAGAACCTATAGGTGCTGGGTTCCATTGCTAGTGAGGTCATGGGCGCTCATTACTGAGGAGCCCCGTGCCAGACGAAACAGCTGTCCAGTACCCTCAGGTTTCCAATGTTCTTCCAAATGCTGTCAGTCCGTGACGAAGACCAACTTAAATACATAATTGACTCGTTACGTGATATAGTTCAGAAGAAGCCTATCTGATAATATGATGAGCTGGTTTGATCTGTGAATATAGGATATATTGCTAAAATTTGTGAATTCATCCAAGGTCCAGTAATATTATATACTTATTTGCTTACTTTAGACAGAAATAAGTAATTATCTGACACCGTTAAAAATATTTACCTTTAGAATTAAGATGTGTTTTATTTTTGTTTCTGTATGCTTTCAATTTTCCGCTTCAGTTTCAAATTCGAAAGGCATTTTGTCAGGCATTTTGTGGAAGCCATCCGATGACGCATAAATATGTCTCATTCGGCTTAAAAGTTAAACCTTTGCTTACCTCCTGCTACTGCTTCTAAACAAGCTGTGGTTAAAATCTATCCTAAATACGTACAAAAAAGCCATTGAATAAATCTCCAAGTTAAAAAGTTTTCTGGATATACGAATAACTGTACTACAACACTCTTGCTCTATTTAGATGTTTTCAGGAAATCCTTTTTTATAAAACACTTACTGTCTCCATGCTTTTCATGGAGTAGTTAAAAAGCAGTTTCGTCTGTATGCGTCTTTAGCATATTCAATTCCCAATATTGACAGGCACATAGGAACACAACTGGAAATGGAGTGAGCCAATCGCTTTTATGTGAAACGTGAAATAAAGAAAAACTTTATCTTCTATTGAGGTACCAATGTCAGGATCTATTGTTTTTTTAACTCATGACAGCTGTATTCATAGGTATGAGGAAATTGTTCAGGAAGCTTTTAACAGGGTTACACATGATTATTGGCTTAGAAATAAAAAATTACATTGATTTCTTTTGAGAACCCAACTAGTGAGGACTGAAGGGTCTTTCTTCATTTGATCACTTTAAAGCTGAATGTTTTTCTAGATGACACTGAAAAATGCTAACAGACCTGAAAAAAGATGATGTAATCAAAGTGAATGCATTTTGTTCATCACTTGTTTAGGATGGTATTTGGTGAAATGGATATCATTCTCTTTGTTTACTTCACGCTGATTTTATCTGTCAAATATCTTTTTATCTATTATTCATTTATTGCATTCCATCATTTTTTGAGATTACTGTAATTTGTAAGGTTTTACAATTATGACAAATATAAAGCCCAAAAACAATCCGTAAATATATCTGAAATCTTTCCACTCTGTATCCCTTGAAACTATGAGTTATGGCCCATAGTATACTTAGACGACTGGCAGATTTATTAGGATATTAAACTGCATAATATCCAAAAACATGATAAAGCAAACTTTGGAAGAAGATGAAGACGTTCTATCGACTGTCACGGATATTTTAATAAGGTCGAACGAAACTTCCTTACACTTTAGTTTAAGTTTGCTTCCTCGTTAGCATACCAAGTCTACTTGTCATACAGCATATCCCATTTGTGTGTATAACATTTGCTTGCAAGTAACAGAGCAATATCTAGTGCTGTCTGATTACATCTAGTCACATGTTCACAAATGCTAGAACGACAATCCGGAGCGTTCAAACCATCTGTCTACAAGTTCACAATTGGTATGATACTAAAAGCAAGAAATAAATTGAAAGCTTTTATCTTCGAAGAAAACTGGCATTTTAACCTAATATAGAAATTTTCACAAGTATGTGGTTAGGATGAAGGTTATTTTTTCAAGTCCTAAATTTAAATTTTCAAACTTAACCCTATTTGGTTATTAGTAAGAAATGAACCAATTTTCCAGGATCAGCTAAGTGGAGCATAAAATTATGAAAAAATCCAGTGGTATGACGTTCTAAGGCAAGGAGAGTGGAAACATTTAGATATCACACCGAATTTAACACCCAGCTGGTTACCCTTAATTTAAATACTCAATCGATGTTTGTAAGCGATAAAACTTCACAAATGTAACAGGTAACATTGGAACCCCACCACCACTGGAAAGGGTTAGAACAGAAGAAACGAAATCTGAAACAGTCATTTGGTATCCTAAGTTTTTTCTAGGAAGTCATCAAATTCAGCAAAACTGTACTGTTTTGTGCTGTAGTTACCGAGCTAAGTAACTTGCCGATAGATATCAAACTACCCATATGTCACGGTGATAAAAATTTCCAAAGTATAGTAATAAATACTTTGATGGACACTTCTACAGACTTCATTCCCTTTGGCCTAGTGTGTAAACTGGGCTGCTAAGAAAAACAGACTTTGAAATTAAACCAGGAATCTGGAATCCGTTTGTTTGAAGCTTGCTGCGACCAGGGTTTTTATTTCACCTTCAATCGTCACTTTTTTCAAAATACTAGTCTACCAACCCGCGACTATTTCAGTCGGTTTCAACGACAATTGTTATTTTTTTTATTAAAATGCTGACAGTCATAGGAAGGACCAGTTTTATTCTCTTTTCCATTCTTTGCTTTTCTTTCTTATTCAGTATTACTGCCTAAAAATCTAGTTTTTTTCATGATTTTTAAACAAAATGTTTCCTGCCATATTTTTTCTCAATTGAGAATTTGATTATTTGCCTTCGTATCCATCCCATCGATCAATAGATGTTTTGTCGACGGAATTAAGAGGTTTATTATATTACTACTTTTGATAATTATTTTCTTCCTCCTTACGCGCCTTCTTTCTCTTCGAATCTTTTATTTTTCATTTTGAATAAAGCCATTGAATATCAACCATCTGGCGTAGAATAAACATTTAATGTCTTTACGTGAATTTGTTTGGATGAATAAACATACATATGTTAATAAGTTTTCTGTTTAGTGCAGACTAAATAAATCTGAGTTTCATTTAGACCGATTGTTTTGAAGAATGAAATCAGCCACAATATGAAATTAACCTTGCTCACCCTTATCTACGTGCACATCAGTATTTCAGCTTATTCTCTTCAATGCTGCTTGAGTAACAGCAGTTAAAACTACATTTGACTTTAATTGACTGATTTCTTGAAAATCAATAATTTCCGGCTATAAAATTGATTATCATTGGGGGGTAAATCTTGTACAGTTCCACAGAAGCTTTTATTACTTTCATAGCTTGCATTATTGTTTTTACTACACGTTTCCTGTCGTATAATATCCTAAGTTCTTCATAAAATTGTTTATATGACTACTTCATTTACACGATTTAGCTGTTTCCTAATATTAGTTCACTGTGTGTGTAGTAATTTCTTGAAACAACTTTTTTGGATAGAGTAACAGTCAGAAACTACCTTTCAAAGTGCAAACCACAGCGGCTCACAGTTCAATGAGTAAAGGATTAATAGGTTCAAATTATCTAGGATTTATTTGCATCATTTAAGCTGATTATATATTGTCTTATTCAAACTCTTAGTCTGACAGGACATATATCTTAAGTGATAGCGAAAGTTTTGCTTAGCACCTACCTCATCTTATTAATTCGTGATGCAAGTTCTTCGAACAATCTACCTGTATGACATGTTTCAATTCATTTTATAAAAATAAATTTTCATAAATAAATCTTACTGCATTGACTTGAAAAACAATGACAGCGAAATCTATGTCATCTAAGAAACCTATTGTATTGGATAACTCTCTGGCATTTGAAGCAATCGGTCTTGCGTTCTAGTCTTAATGGAGACAACATCGCTCACTAGGAGGCGGTACATCCAGCTGAAGATTTCAAAGTAAGACGTAACGTGCATTCCAAATTCCACTGCTAGCCACTATCCATCATTATTACAAGAAATCTATTTTCAAATGACGTAGTTCTTTGAAAAAGTGGAACCTGGACTAAAATATTCCCATCAGCTGGACAAGTAGAACTACATAGAAAATAATGTGCATTTCAGCACTACACTTTCTAATTCCCATGTTATTTAGTTTAAAGTGTGACCGTTTACTTTAAATAACTTGTATCATATACATCTATCTTTTCAGTGGAACAAAACTGTTCCGGTACTGTTACACCAAGCATCATAGTAAAATCATCCTTTTTGTCTGTCAACAAATATAGTCAATGGTTGGAAAGGCAGACGCGAAAAATCTTTCCAGTCGACCGAATGCTTCCAGTCATCAGATTCAGTAGTTTGAAGATAAAATAACTTTTCAATAACTGTTGAATACTGAAGCTTGAAAAGTCCACAACTTAACTTATATCAGTCTCCTCCATAACTGTGCATGCTTTTACCGTTTTTCTTGTTTTCAGATACTTCTTGACCAAAGCACACAACATTATTTTACATTTTGAATCAATGTAGTAATAATGATTGCTCTGCATACTTTAGAAACATACAACATTCAAAACATTTCAATAAACAACACATCAAATATAAACAATTCAGTCATGTCACTCGTTAATTCAGAAAAAGTGGAACTCCAACCAGGTCTAATTGCCTTAGTATCACTGATGGCCTTCATACTCCTAATTATGATTGCAACATTGTTACTACCAAAATCAATTCAAGATAATATTTTCCAATTAATTTTGAACCAGACTCCAGATCAAACATTTAATTATATTGATGTGGGTCTATATAAAACTAGACATTCTATATACCGTAAAGAAGTTTACTCATTAGCCATGCAAGGCAATCAATATAAGAAAAAGGATGAGGGACATACACTACTTAGTAATAATAAGAGTATTAGTTCACTTAAGTGTAAAGGCACTAGTCAATTAAAACCAATGGCGACAAAGTCAGTCATCGCGTCCGTTTCAGTTCCAGAAGACTATGACAAATTTGATCAGTGTTCATGTTCAACTTCAGTGTGTAAATCAACACTGTCCTCATACAGTTGCCATGCTCAACATGACTGTCTTCAAATGGAAAATGAAAAATCAGTGATATTTTCTAAAGATAGCTGCTCTTTTGGTAGTCATAACAACGATAAAATTATAGGTAGTAATATTAACAATGATAATTATAACCATATTAGATATGATAGCTATACGTATGCCAACAGTCGGCGCAATTCAACTTCAAATTTAACTAAAGAGGATTTTTTTACTTATGACACAATAAATTTGTTATCATCATCATTAAACACTAGATACTCACTACCTGTACGTTTTACTCAAAGTAGCCAAAGCATTAATGCATTCAACAGACTTCCACTCACTTCAGTATCCCCGAAATCAAAACAACCATCAATGTTAAATAAACGTGTTCGATTGCAACTATCAGATAACTTTATTGATAGATGTAAATAGTGTTAACATCCTTTTATATTTAGATTAAATTAAACCTTGTTGGATAATCATTGGGATAAATTGCAAACACTTCCGTGTTCCTCATAATATTTAGTGATTGAAGTGGAGTTGAACATAGCTAACAGTCACGTCTAGTAATTCAAACAATGCATCACTAGGCTGGTAACCTGGATGTCATTTGTTTGAATAGAAATGCAATCCAGGTTTCGTCTCTCACTAAAAGGCATCATCGTTGTATGGAATGCCTTTTTTGGTTCAACTGTTGTGTATTTTATTTTCTGTAAATTATTTCTTTCTGTCCCTATAACATTCAAAAATATACTTTATTTCATTAATATTGACTTGTTTTTATTGATTATCATATGAAGATGCCGATGCATATGTTATCCATCAATTTGAAGGAACAAAAATGTCCTCAAGGTTTGGTTCCTTGAAAATTATGAACTTCACATTAACCGTGATCACTGGTCAATGTAAGTTGTCATATAGCGGAAACGATAAATTCTGAAATCATCCTATTCTTATTTACATTTATGTAGCATGTATTATTTATGATGATATACTAGGCTGATAGATAAATGTGTAAACATAGTCTTAACGCTGATAATTTTAGGTAAACTCTCCTAAGAAAGATATTTCACAGTTGTTCTTTTGTATATGTTGAAAAAAAACATTCTCACGCTCAAAAAATCCTTTCGTAGCCGCAGTAATTCATTACTTTAACTTCAAATCCTATCCCCGTCACAATATGCTTAGGAGTATGTATATATATATATATATATATATATATATATATATATATATATATAAATGGAAGTTTCAACTGTCACGTGGGTCATGCGGGACAACAAATAGGTAAACGTTTAAGTCGATTACTTTGTTCGCATAAAAAACTGGAACGATTGAGGATATGAAGAGCCTGTCTGAAGGATTTAGTAACTGCCCTGAGCCCTGCAGACTTAAAATAAACTTTAAACGACGTTAGTGCAAAATCAGATCTACTTTTAAGCTAACCGAAACCTTAAAACAATTTACAATAATTAATTCTAAGAAACAATTACAGGAAACCATTATCTTTGACTAATGCAAGTCAGGATCAAAGGTAGATACTTATCGAGAATATTAATTGGTTAACCTAACTTGCAAATAGACTAGAGTTTACAGTGATAAACGCTGAGATTTGACGTTGTTTCTAAATAATCATATACTTGTGTTGTACCCAGATGTGTTATTTTTGCCTTCAATCGTCTTCTCGTATCAATACTGCAACTCTGCAAAAGACCACGCCTATCTCAAATAGTCTCACCAAGGACAGCTTTTCCATAAAGAAGAAACTTGACCGATTCACTGTGAAATACAATAACAAAAACAAATTGCTGAAGCATTGAAAACAAATAAACTACTTCAGTGATGTACACTGAGAGCGATGGATGAAATCTCATTCAGTGCATCAACAACAGCTCTTTATGCATAGATATAATTAAGCTTGGGCTTCTGACTTTGTTTCGCTGCTTACAGTGGTCAAAATGACGGAATTTGTAAATTCATTCTTTTGAGACAGTGAACTAGTTTCAAAGGTGTGGGCTGGAAAATGTGATATTTAATGCTTACACGAATTTAAAGCCTGACAAAAAATTCCATTGCAGTTAGCTTTACAAGGATTCAGATTGTCAACAGATCTGAGGATCAACAGATCTATTACGTTTCACAAACTTAAACGCGAAAACCATGTACAAGTCAGTCGAGTGATTGAAAATCTGAATTGTAGACTTTCTACGTTAATAGAGGGTCATAGAAAAACAAATAAATAAGTGAGATTGTCTTGCTCATATTTTATGATTATGATGATGATCGCTTCGGCGGTTTTCAGGAGACTAATTCTTATCGCTTGCAGCAGATTGTTGGTCTCATCTCCTTCACGATATCTGCGCTTCGACTAAACTCAAACAATCTGACCTCTCAACCATTTGTGACAGGGTTTTGTCTTACTTACAAATCCAAACTCAGATCCATCTCACAACTTACATAAAGCTGTCGTTTCTCAGGCATTTCATTATTGCGCCCGATTAAACACATTCCTGCATGAAAAATATTGTTTGGATTCAACAAATGAAATGAAGATGAGTATATAATGAAGGACAGATGTTTCTGAACTATAGATTTAGTTATATTAGAAAGACAGGAAGTTTAGCAAATACTTATTTTCGTGAATACCTCTTAGAGATTTACTTCTCAGTACTATGTTTCAAGCCGTTAAACATATGCATAACTGGGGTTACATGAATACGAGTATTGATAATTAAACTGTACATTTAGTTGATTATAGGGTCAAAACTATGTAATAATATATTGCATAAGATTTCAGTTAAATAATGGATAAAAGAGCTGTTAATTAACATTGCTAGTTGGTGATGATTGAAGGTGAAATGAAAATCTGGGACAAAACAGGATTCGAACCCAAGACTCACTTGTTAGAATCCTGCTATTACTAAATGGGACTAAGTTGAGACCTAAGTCTTATTTGTTTTTTCTATAGCTAACTATACTATGAGGTGTTATTTAGTGCGCTATAAAAACTTTCTTATGTTGCGTCTCAGACTACTGACTTCAGAGAAGCAGCTGAGAGGCGTTATCTCTCAGAAATGACGGTGAGACATATATGCTTCTGCAAGCCAGCCTCATGGAGGCTGGAGTAAAAGTCTCGTACAACCAGTATCGGCCAATTACCTTATGAGTTTTAACTTCATTAAAAAGAAGGATTTTTCGACTAAAGTATCTGGATTTCAGAAGCTGCTTCAATATTCTTATGCAATAATACGTTTTACATCCATGAAAATTTTCACACCGAATCATTCAACAAACTGTAACCAACACTGTATCAAATCAAATGGTTGACGCTTTTTATCGACAGATTATCTCCATTGTTAAACATTAGAACAAGATGTATTCCTTCATGGCTGAAAACCCTCATGATTGCATGACGAGAAAAGTTCCGTAATTGTTACATTTGGCCATTCGGATCAGTTAACACCAATGACAACGACATGATTGAGTACGAGAAGAGATCAGTATAATCAGCATGATATCACTATCATCGCTCATGCAGCTTATTTTCCAGATTATGTGGAAACATTTTACACACCAAATTAAAGAATCAACAACTGCCATTCGATAACTTTGAGTGTAGATTTAATTTTTGTGTTCCTAGGTATGGATAAAGAACGTTTTTCAGTTTAGCAATTCTCACTGTTCAAGAGGTGATAGTTTTGTCCTCTTAACACCGAATTTCCTCCATTTTATAGGTTGTCTTTTTGTTTCAAAAGGCAAAGACTTTGCGCTTGTACCAAGCTTTCTGCTTTATATTCTTGTCATTCAAAATATCTGAATACAATGTTTCTTAATTCAGCACAGGTCTTCCTTGAGAATGACAGATGGGGTAGAAAGTAACGAACAATCGTGACCACCATTATAAAACTCAATGAAAGTCAACATGCGATTTATTTTCAGAAAGGTAATAAGCACTTAGTTCTGAAGTTTGTATATGAACATCTGCACTTGACCGTGCAGATAATGACTTCAGTAGATAGCACATAAATGTTACTATCTTATGGACAGGTAATATACAGAACTTTGCATCAAACAAATTCATCCGTGTTCACACTATTGCTTAAACAAAATTAACCTTTCCTTACTGTGTAATAGTATGCCACATTTTACACGATTAAAAGTTTTGAAATACATCTAAAGCTTTTTTCAAGTTGTATTAAGGTGTATCTTAGTTCAAACAGACATTACTTAATAAAAATATCTTAAGAAGGTCGAAATATTCAGGAACATGATAGTCTACATTGACCAACCACTGGAGGGGAACCAACTTCGAGTTATCTAGTCCTAAATGTTGGTCAAATTCTGCTGAACACTTTGCAATGCGACTAATAAACTTGGAGACCCATCAGCGCGATGAAGGCAATTGACAGAAAGCCCTGGACATTGGTTTAATGCTTCTTGGTACTCTCTCACTGCAACACTGGGTGACGTGGGTTTGGATCTCAGGTGGGACCTCAGTTTTGTCGACGTTACAGATACCCCTAGCTCATGAGTGCCAACAATCATGAAACCTAGGTCCAGGGCTTCCTGCTGATTACTCACATCTGGCTAACATCATAGGATTCCAGACGCTTGATTACTGTAGTTACCGTACAAACCGCTCACTAGAAAATATATATGAAAACTAAGGAGCGATAACTGAGTAAGATGTAGAACAATTCTGCTTTGAAGTACACAGTACCGTTAAACTAAAAGAAGTGACAGAAGTTCATGTTCTAACTATGTATTTCCAGCGACTAGAATCACAGTAAGTTCTGAGCATGTGTGCAGCCCGAATAAATGATTACTGTAACAAATCTTAACATACTTAAAAGTCATTTAGCGCTTTGAAGGTCAGAAAGAAATATCTTTTAATTCTTATTACCGAAGCAACACTAATAAAATGAAATTAAGTCAGACAGAAGAGATTTTTTATAAGGCATGATAAGGAATGTTGCTGAATGAGTGAGATAAGTTCACAAATGATTAGAGGTAGTCACGAAATCATGTCAAACTATGTAAAAATATAGATAGATACGTGAAAGAGATCTGCGTACCAATAAGAAACACAGTAATAATGGGAAATAGTTATCATGGATCTAGATAATGATGAGCATAAAATGAAGTGAAAAAGATAAAATGTTGAAAATTCACCCAGTACTAGGTCAGTAACAACTGGTAGTTCTCTCTTTGGCAAAACCTTGTATGGGCCAATTTTGTCGGATTACAACGGCTTCAGCCAGTCAGAACAAGCTTGAGATCTTACATATAAAATGTTCTATAGCTTACCAAAGTGACTACTTATGTGATTATTCAGGTTGTATACAGCTGACGAGAATCACATGAAATAAAATAGTGTCATCTTATCATGTAGATTTATGTTGCTTTTTTTTAGGCCGTTCTCAACCATTTTG